GCCGCACCTGCTCCCGCCCCTGTCTGACTGTCCTATTGCAACCTCTGTCCGCACCGCCTTACATCTGTCTGTCCTGCCCGCCACACCTGTGTGTCCCCTCGCTATCCCTTCTTCCCATGAAGTGGACAAACGTATGTGAAACATCTGGGCCCAAGATGATGGACAGGATGGTAAGCGGGCCAGACAAACCCGCTGCCTTCACGGAGCTTAGGCTACGATGAAGGGAGACGTAGACAACCAACATGACTGTGATCGGAACTGGGAGTGGAGACGGGATGATCTAAGAGGGACATTAACAGAGTCCTTGGAGCCCTAGCCGGTTTGGATAGAGCTCAGGGGATAGAGCATCCGCCTGTGGACTGAAGAGTCCCGGGTTCGATTCTGGTCAGGGGCACAGGCCCAGGTTGTGGGCTCCTCCCCAGCAGGGGGCGTGCAGAAGGCAGCCAAGTCAATGATTCTCCCATCATTGGTGTTTCTATCTCTTGCCCCCTCTCCCTTCCTCTCTGAAATCAATAAAAATATATTTTTTTTTAAAAGAGAGAATCCTTGGAGGTAAAAAGAGGAGGGATGTGGGTCACTTTCCCGGCAGAAAGAGCCCAAGCAATAACTGCAGTGTAGGATGGTTTATGACGGTGAGGATGTGGGCAGGGTGGTTTATGCGTGGACTTGTGTGCTGGCACATGCATGTTGAGGATTTTGAACTTACAGTAACTCTGAAGAATAAAATGTGGGATTCAGTTGTGTATTTGAAGATCACTGTGGCCATCGTGTGGCGACTGGATTGGACGGGAGCAAGGGCAGGGGGGCAGTCAGAGGCTTTCCGAGTATCCCTTGATGGCCTAGAGCAGTGGTCAGCAAGCTCATTAGTCCACAGAGCCAAATAGCAACAGCACAACGATTGAAATTTCCTTTGAGAGCCACATTTTTTAAACTTAAACTATATAGGTAGGTACTTTGTTATTAACTTAATTAGGGTGCTCCTAAGGCTTAGGAAGAGCCACACTCAAGGGGCCAAAGGGCCGCATGTGGCTCGCGAGCCGCAGTTTGCCGACCACTGGCATAGAGGATAGAGGGGCCGATTTGGAAATGTCTGGACACGTCTTGGTGAGTCACTATATATGACAAGAAGATGGAGGGGGTATAAAGGTGTTTGTGGGGCCTTTTGCTCTGATAGTCTATGTTGGAGGAGGCTTTTTGGACATGCTGAATTTGAGGAGTCTTGTGCGGTACCCAAAGCCTGCAAACATTTTTGAGAATTTGGACAAAGGTGGTAAATAAGACCGTATGAGTGGACAGGAATGCTGGGGCAAAGGTATAGAATGAAGAGGACCTAGGATTGAGTCCCCCAAACTTCTAACATTTAAAGTAAGGAAGAGGGCTTCTCCTCAGCCTGGGCCCTGGTCGGGGCTTGAGCAGGAGGCAATCGATCGATGTGTTTCTCTTACATCGATATTTCTCTCTGTCCTTCCTTCTCTCTATATAATCAATGGAAAAAGCCCTAGCCAGTTTGGCTCAGTGGATAGAGCGTCGGCCTGCAGACTGAAGGGTCCCTGGTTTGATTCCAGTCAGGTCAAGGTTTCAGGCTCCTCCCTAGTTTGGTCAGGGTGCGTGCAGGAGGCAACCAATCAATGTGGTTTTTTTCACATCAATATTTCTGTCTTTCCTTTTCTACCTTCCACTCTCTCTCAAAATCAATGGAAAAATATCCTTGGGTGAGGAATAAAATTTAAAAAATAATAATAAAGGAAGAGGAAAAGAAATGGCCAGAAAAGGAGGAAAATCAGGTGAGACACCACGAGAAGAGTTTTTAAAGAGGGTGGACAGTTGTATCAGATGCTCTAGACTAGGGGCCAAAGGAATGGAGGAAAGATTGAAGGGTGGCTGTACCTCACCACTGGCTGGATGGGGGTATGGAGCCAGAAAGGGCTTTTGCAAAGCCGGGGGAGGTTTGCAAGTTTGTCTACACGTCTCTCCTTCATATTATTGCTTTTTCTATTTTAACAAAAAGTAGTCTACTTGAATCTAAAAATAAAATCAAGTTACCAAAGAACCTATACGCGTATATGTATAGCCCATGGACACAGACAACAGTAAGGTGAAGGTCTAGGGTGGGTGGAGGCTGGGTGGAGTGGAGACTTGGGGAGAAAATAGGGGACATCTGTAATACTGTCAACAATAAAAAATAAACTTAAAAAATAAATAATACAGAAGAGCTAATAATACAAAGCACCAGTCTTCTCTCCACTGCAAGAGGCAACAATATTTTTAAAAATATTTTTTTATTGATTTTTTTACAAAGGGAAGGGAGGAGGATAGTTAGAAACATCGATGAGAAAAACATTGCTCAGCTGCCTCCTGCACGCTCTCCACTGGGGATCAAGCCCGCAACCAAGGTACATGCCCTCGACCGGAATTGAACCCAGGACCCTTCCATCTAGGGCCTGACGCTCTATCCACTGAGCCAAACCGGTCAGGGCAAGAGGCAACAATTTAATAGAGGTTTAATATGCTAGTTGCTTCTGTATCTAAGTACCTTGCTATTCCTCAATTTCAGTGGTTAGTAATATATTACATATTGATTTTCTGCCTTTACAACCTTTCCCCTCTCTTCCCATGGTGGTTTTATGGTACCAGTTTTCAGATCAGTCAATAAAGTGCTTGCATTATGTCTGTAAGTACTTATTGTTTACTGCAGAGCCCAAGTCATGTTCTTTGATTACATTTTCTTTCTTGAACAGATTGTGGATTTTTGTTTTGTTAATCTTCACCCAACGATATTTTTTCCATTGGTATTTTTGACAGTGGGAAGGGGAAGAGTTATATAGAGAAACATTGATGTGAGAGAAACATCGATTGGTTGCCTCCCGCAAGTGTCTTGACCAGGGCCAGGGTTCAAGCCTGCAACCAAGGTATGTGCCCTTGACCATGATCAAACCCGGGATCCTTCAAGTCTGTGGGCTGACAGACTGAACAGCTTGTGCAAAGCATTAGGGGGCAATCAACTTTGGTGAGACTTGAGGCAGTCTCATCCCCAAGAAAAGGAAAGCACACAGGTGAAGTTTCATATTTTCCTGGCTTTTTCCTTGACATTTGCCAGTGTATGTGAGGGACTAGACTCAGAAATAACAGTTCTCCACTGCGCTGAGGTTACAGAGGTTGGACCAGACAGCTGGGGTGTGAGGGTAAAATTTCCATGTGGGGTATTAGCTCCCCAAACTACAGACAACCTTCTGTTGAGGCATTTGTCAACTCATAACCTGCTCATTGTCATTGCAAGATCCAAGGTGTTCATCAGAAAGTAGTAATGGCCCACAGACTGAAGGGTCCCAGGTTTTATTCCGGTCACGGGCATGTGCCTCAGTTGCAGACTTGATCCATAGCTCTGGTTGGGGCGTGTGAGAGGTAACCAGGTGATGTGTCTAACATCAATGTTTGTCTCTCCCCCTCCCACTCTCTAAAAATCAATGGAAAAATATCCTGAAGTGAGGATTAACAACGAAGTAGTAACAGAGGTTAAGGAGCTGAGGTTGAGGAGCTAAGAAGAGACCCCTTTTTTATGTATTTCCTGTTTTTATATATTTCATCCAGTCTTTGTAACTGGTCTGTGCCACGTCAGTCCAAAATGGGCTATTCTTTTTTTTTTTTAAATATATTTTATTGATTTTTTACAGAGAGGAAGGGAGAGAGACAGAGTCAGAAACATCGATGAGAGAGAAACATCAATCAGCCGCCTCCCGCACACCCCCCACCGGGGATGTGCCCGCAACCCATGTACATGCCCTTGACCGGAATCGAACCCGGGACCTTTCAGTCCGCAGGTTGACACTCTATCCACTGAGCCAAACCGGTTTCGGCTATCTTCC